GGGGCAGGAATCTTGACTTTCAATGCGAATTTGCAGGACGTCTTGAAGCGCTTTGATGTTCTCTGGGGTCAAGGGAACGACCTTGTTCTTCTCGAGGAACTCCGCTAGTTTGTCAATGCGGTTCTTGCAAAGCGCCCAGTGGTTGCAGACTTGTCGCAGACGGAGGATGACTTCGAGAAGGTGAGAATATGTGGCGCCGCCTTTGTCCTTCGATTTGAAATCTATGAGCATGCCTTGCGCCTCAGACCTGCGAATTGTTAGTGAGCCGGAGACAGTGGGAAAGAAAGCCCGGTGGTGAGACATACTGGAACATGTCATATTTCTCTTGCTCGTGCGGATGGAATTTGATACGTAGGACACGGGAAGTGAGCGGGGGAAGACGCAAATTCACGAAGTTCATGTCCTTCCGACGGCGCAAGCACAGTGTGCTCATCAGAGCTTGTAGTAGCAAACGAGCATTGGGATCTTCAGACATAAGAGGCCGAACGAGAACGCTGTTGAACACAGACATGTCCTCAAGGCCACCGGTGAGTCGGAGGAAGCGAACTTGGGAGTAAAGATCCTTGAGGGTATTCACGATAGGGGTTCCTGTAAGCGTCCAGCGCGAGTCTGCCCTCAGGTTACACGCCGCAATGGAACCTTTAGAGCGTGGATTGCGAATCGTATGTCCCTCGTCAAGGACTACACGACGCCATTGGAGCGAAAATAGCCCCTTCTTCGGAGGCGCTTTGGCGTTTGGGTTGTACTCCATAGCCAAAGCACCATAGCTTGTGATGACGATATCATACTGATCGAGGTTGGCGGCCTCCTTCTTTCCTTGACCATGGTAGACATGCACCTTAGGGGCTCGGTCGCTGTGAGTGTGATCCTGTGCTTGGTTCTTCCAATTGCTCATCACGCCCACTGGGGAGATGATCAAAGTGGCTTTAGAAGAGGCTGGAGTCTTGGGCTGGAAGTTTGCGAGGATCAAAGAGATGATCTGAATCGTCTTGCCAAGGCCCATGTCATCAGCCAGGATACCACCACTGGCCAGAGGCGGCGCCTGTGAGGTAGAGTAATTGGTAGCGATGTTGGTGAATTTGTTGCCATTCCTCTTCCACAATTGCACAACCTCCGCAGATCCAGCTGCAGGAAGTACCGGGTTCTCCTGAGCAATCATCCAAGCCAACCCCTGGCGCTGATATGGTAGAAGCTGTGTAGCTAGAGCATCTGGATTTTCGGCCATGGGCATCTTTTCTAAGTCAGCTTCTTTGATGCCAAAGTCTTCATTCACTTGACCGATATCGCGAGGGTTGAAGGTGCTGCTTTGTCCAATGAGCTCTTCAAGGCTTTCCTGGTTCTCAAGATCCAGGTCGCCTTCCCCGGAGTAGAGATTTGAGTAGCCCATATTACTTGAAAGCTGCCACTCCTCATCCTTTTTGCTCTTTGCCATGGCACGAGCCAGCTTGGCCGCTTGCTTCTCGGCCTTCTCACGCTCTTTCTGCCGTTTACTCTCCTCCCGCTCCCTTTGTCTGATGCCATTCAAAGGCAACCTGTCCGCTTCCATGCTGCATTTGAGAGCGTGTCTGAGCTCAGGATTACCCGTGCCATAGAGTCTCAGCACGACGGGACAGTCGTAAGCGCCAATGACACCTGTCAGCATGCCTTCAACTAGTAAAGACCGCTCATCCTATATGCGAGGTTTTAGCAGATCGCCAACGCCGGAGCTACACTCGCGTGTACCGCACTTTGAGCAGCGTACCAGATACTTTGCCAGCTTGGCTGCCATGGTTCTCGGAATGTGACCAATCTGGTTGCCCATCACGTTGTCAACTCGAATTGCGTTTCTATCGTACTGATTCGAAGGCTCTCGTTTGATGATCACATGCTCGCCAATGGTGGCATGCCCTCGGTAGTAGCGCACGCCCACAATCTTCGTGTTCAGGTCGCCGTAATGCAGCAACGAACCGGATGCCTCCACATCTTGACTGCTTTGAACCAGATCAGCAGCCTGGGCATCGTCGTCCTCTTCGTTTTCGGTGAAAGATTGCGATGCTTGGCCAAGAGGGACATAGGCTGTTTCCTCACCAAAGCGCTGCCCGAAGCTGGTACGCGCCGACTTGAAACGCGCATACGGGCTGCTGTCGGCGAAGTCAGTATAGTCGATGCCCCGCTTCTCCGGATGAAGGCCCATGATAGAAATCGGTACCTGGTCAAGCGCCGGAGAATTTCCCGTGGTCGATGTTTCGAAATCAGGTGCTGATGTTATACACTTCCTAGTAAGTTAGTGTAAGGGAATTGATCAATAACAGTAATGGGTCTCTCGCTTCGATGACGGGGAAAGACACGCGCCCATGTGACCAATAAACATGTGACATTGCCCCGGACTCCCGCCAGTTGCCGATTGAGAACATGATGTCAATCTATCAACAGATCCAGCACTCTGTCCTCTGTTACTGAGTGGAAGTGAACGGGGCAAAAACTCAATCATGAACTGGATAGATAAGAGTCACTCAAATCCGCAGATATGCCAAATCTGCATAACATTCCGCATATCGCTGACCTTCGTTTAGCAGCTTGTCTACTCCGCATAATGCACAGTTGGCAGGTGGTAAGGAGTGCAGCACGCAACAAAGGGGAGGGGTTATCATGCTTCGAAATGCATGGGAAATGCTCAGAAAAAAAAAACCAAATCAAAAGGGATCGAAGAGAAAAGACAGGGTCTGAATCATACCCCTTGCGTTGGCGAATCAATCATCGCCCACCTCGTAATTCGGTGACGAACTATTGAGGGATCCGCCTTTTTTTCAGTCCCTTTGCCCCCGAGAGTCGATCCCACCACTTACCTCCGAATTTGCTGTCCCATAGCATTATTTGACCATGGATACATAGTATAACCTTTTCCCTATACACCTGGATTTCTATCTCTAGGATATATACAGTACATACTCTGGTACAGCACCTTGTGGGGTTCAGCAGGTTCAGCAGTCCCACCACTCCACCGCTTCGTGTTCAGGCATGAATTTGAGGCAGTGTCGATTATCGGATTACTAAACAGCTTCAACTGCCAGTCGAATTGAATCAACAATCTAGTCTCACTTTCTCAGGACATCTTTTGCGCTGCATATATATAACTATAGGGTACATCTTCTCTCGTGGTTGTCGTTTCTGATCGACTTGCGATCCTCCTATGGCCGCCACCCCTCCCATTCCTTTCTACCGCCAACTCGTCGAAGACTACCATAGTCAGTACGAATCGCTCATCCAGAATGGCGAGGCAAAGCCGGTTTTCTTCTGGCAACTGATTGCCCTTCTCTTGCTTCCTGTCCCGGCGCTCCTGGTTCCGCGGCGCAAGGGCGGCCGCTATGTGCAGCGTTTCGTTCTGGCTTGCATTTTCGGCACTGTCATCCACTTTCTGCGCCACCGACGCATGCTCCTTGGGGGCTACGGGTATATGGGCGGCTTGCTGCCAGCATGGTGGCTCATTTGGTGCGCCGTCTGGCTGGCGTACAGAAACGCCGAGCGCGAATGTCAACGGATCGTCAGGACGACGGTTTCCGCCACGCAGAGGGACAGGACGAACGCCACAGAGCACGCGCACCAGCAATCTGTCGAAAGGCTCGCATGGCAGCCTTATCCACAGGCACTGTCGCAGCGCCTGAGTTGGGTCCTAAGCTTGTTATTCGGCATGCGGGGACCTGAGTGGAACTGGCGCATCTCGTCGCTCGGCCCCTTGCCCTCCTCAGTCCACGCACAGCTGAAAGCCAAAGATCCGTCCTTCCGTGCGGACGAGATAAGGCAAGCAGAGGAGGAGCAGGCGGATACTGCTGCCATCCGGGCCCGTGTGCGCTCCGCCCTGATGCTCTGCATCCGATCCTATCTCACCCTGGATCTGATCAAGCTGCTCATGATCCGCGACACGTACTTCATGTACAACGGGAACATGGCCCTGGCGCCGCCCTACCCGTTCACCTCCCTCGCCGCCGTCCCCGGCCTGGTCCGGTTCTACCGTCTGGCGGTGACGGGCTTCGGCATCCACGCTGCGTTGGCCTTCGTGACCTCCTTCAACCCCCTCATCTTCGGGGGCCTGGCCCTCGCCTTCCCCCACGCGGCCCGCGCCGTGACCCCCGTGCCCCTCGACGCCGCCTGGCTGTACGGCGACACCTTCGGCCCCTTCCTCCCCTCCATCCTCGATCACGGCCTCATCGGCTGCTGGAGCAAATGGTGGCACCAGCTCTTCCGCGTCGGCTTCACCTCCACCGGCCGCTGGCTCATCTCCCGCCTCCCCCTCCCCGCGCACACCGCTTCCCGGCCCGCCGTCCGCCAGCTGGTCTACACCTTCGTCGCCTTCGGCCTCAGCGGCCTAGTCCACTCATGCGGCAGCTATGCGCAGATCGTCGAGACGAGCCCCGCCCGCGGCCCGTTCCGCTTCTTCATCCTCCAGGCCGTGGGGTTCATCGTGCAGGGCGTCGGCGCCCACGTCCTCGTTCCGCGGCTGCTGGGCGCGAACAAGCGAACCCTCCTGCCCCGGGGGTTGCGACGCGCCGCGAATTTGGTCTTCGCGGTCGGGTGGTTGTACCTCACGGCGCCGGCTATTGCGGATGATTTCGCGAGAGGTGGGTTGTGGTTGACGGAGCCGTTGCCTGTGAGTCCGCTGCGCGGGCTGGGGATTGGGGTGAGAGAGGAAGATCGGGGGTGGTGGTGTTGGTCTTCCCCTTGGTTTCGGTATTGGGATGATGGGACGTATTGGGGCCGAGGGGTGCGGGTGGTGTGATTTCCAGATATGGGATCAACTTTGGCTAGCTGTTTGGCGTACATGATAGTTCTAGATAGATGACATAGATTTAGATCGATTGAAGACCGAGAACCGAGAACACAAGAATTTGGCTCGTTTATTCGGGCTTCTCGTTTTGTCATATTCTCCTTACTCGGTTATAAATACTCTGACAAAAATACGCGATTCAAGTCCGTGCGAGTACGGCCACCAGACTGAATCGAAAACAGAATGCTTTTTGGTATCTCTCGAGTGTGCAGTGACCTATCCTAAACCGACCAACTAATATTGCTACTTCCTTCGTTTACTCATCCTCCTCGTCATCCGTATCCGGATCGATGTTCAGGGTGGGCATTTCATCGTCACTGTCATCATCACCCGCTGTCTCGGCTGCGGCCACAACGGCACGCGGCTGAGGCGCCGAGGCCGAGGCCGGAGCCGAAGGTCCCGTCATCGAAATAACAGGCTTGGGAGCAGCGGTTGCTGTGATGGAAGAAGCGGGAACAGAGATAGCAGCCGTACCCGTGAATGTAGCAGGCGAAGCGGCACCCAGCGAAGGTTGAGCAGGGACCTTGGTTTCTTGAGACTCAACTCGGACCTTTTTGCTCTGCGCGCCCTCCGTCGCGATGGACGGTGCAGGACTCTGCACCTCCGGTTCCTGCGCATAACTCCTCTTGTTTAGGGAGGGGCTGGAAGATGAAGGGGTCATTTCAACGTCCATCATATCCTGGTGAAGACTAGGGGTGGCAGAGGGCTTGAGGAAGCCGCTCGTTTCGGTGGGTGCTTGGGGCGCGAGCACAGCGTCCGTCTCTTCTTCTTCATCGTCATCATCATCGGCTACGCTATAGCCATTGGCGCCGGGGCCGTTCATCAAGACGGGCATACGCGGGCGAATGAGAGCCTCCACTTCCATCTCGGTGGGATAGCTGCGCGCCAGGAAAGGCATGATGCTTGTGCCTACGCCACGGCCTTGCATGTTAGCAAAGGGGTTGAGAGCACTAGCCAACATCGCGTTCTTGTCGGAGGTCATGATGATGGTTCGGTCGATCTCCGCGCGCAGGGCTGGGGTGATGAGCTCGGTCGAGGTGTGCGACAGGACAGCCACGAGAAGCTCAGATGAGGCCTGTTTGAGGTTTGTAAATGTGGGAGAGCTGCTCAGCTGACGCCCGGGCTTCAATCCAGGGTTCAAGAAGGAGTCCGCGTTCACGGTAGCCTGACTGGACTTCGACTTCGACTTGGGGTCAGGCTTCTCCGTAGCCGCAGTCTGGGTGCTCAGAGGGGGCAACAGGTCGTGGCAGCAGGTACGAAGCACCGCTGTCAAAGAAGAGACACCTTGTTTGGTCATGCATGGACCCATGTGGGGTAGCAAGACGCGCAGCAGGTCATAGACGGCCGTGCGGACTTCCCGACTGAACTTTTCAGCACGAAACACCCAAAGAGCTTGCTCCAAAATGGTCTGTGCCACAGGGATGACAGCCGTCCCAAATGATTTGACAAGATCAACGAGTAGCCTGAGACAAGCGGCATGAATGCGAGGCAGCTCCGTAAGCAGGTGCTCTCTTTCAGCTCGGCCGATCTGCTGGTTGGCTTGGATCTCGCCGTCAGACGGGTACGTCACCATATTCAAGCGTGCGCAAAGATCCAAGATCGAACCCAGGGGAATGATCACAGTGGATGCTGTAGCGGTGTCCAGGAACTTGGAAAGCATGCGCAAAAGCACGAGGAGCCGATTGACACCGGCAGGCAGGCCCTGCCAGCTACCCAAGCCCAATGCGTCAGGCCCATTTCCTACCTCCTGGCTATAGTTCTGCGGCATGGATAGTTGGCGCAACGCTGGGTCGACCGACTCCCACTGTTCCACGACTGCTCTCAAGACGTAAGAGGACGTTGCATGAATAGAGGCAATTGTCATCCGGCAGGCGTTCTTCCATTCTTCGCCGGAAGTGTTCTTCGGGGCGCAGTTATGCAGAGAGACGAACAGCTGCTGCGCAATTTCCAAAATTGGCTCGGGATACGTGGGCTCAGTCGAGCCAATGATGGCCTGGAGGACACTGTGAATCTGCGCCGTGAAGGGTCGGAAAATTGTCGGGTGCCTTGCAATCAGCTCCGCGAATGAATTGAGAACAATGTCCACGAAAGGGGTATTAGGCTTCAGCTTCCGAGTAGGCTCAGAGGATGGCTTGATAGAAATTAGATTCAAGGCCGCAGTGATAAATCCAGGAAGAGACGGCGTTGTGATCTCGCGGACGAGGGTCGGGTATTGGTAGGTCAGGTGGAAGATCCTTGTCAAGGTGATGATGGCCATTTTCTTCGTGGAAACAGGATCGGGTTTCTTGAAGAAGACAAAAGCAATGCAATTAGTGACCACAATAGCATAGATTCGGGGAGAGGGCTTCTTACGTTCAAGATCCCGATAAGACTGCGGACGAACGGTTCGCATCCACGAAGAACCTCCCATTGACCGGCTTCCACCAACGCCTTGACAAGAACCACCGCTGTCCAGCGTCCTTCAATGCTTCGATCCTGCAGCAGACTGGCCAGTCGGGTCATAAGCTTATGCACCTGGACCGCATTGTCCGAGTCCGACTTGGACTTCTGGCTCTGCGGAGTAGACAAGAGCTCCCCGCAATTACTTAGTGAAGCTGCGAGACATGAGGCGAGCGGAGGCAACTGCTTGACGGGGATATTGGTCAGGCGGTGGTTGACCGCATGAAGTGACATTGCCATATAAGCCATAGTGAGCGACAGCGACCGACCCTTGCAGCACAAAGCGAACAAGAAGCAATTGAAGTGCGAAGGTCGCAAAGTTGAGAAGATTAGGTTTGTGTTTCTGTTCTCCAAATTGAGTCTAGGAAATTTTTTGGTGAAGCTCCGCCTGGACCGCGGAACGGTAAAAAAAAAAAACACAATACACAGTACTCCGTACAGTGTACATCAATATTACTGGGAGCGGGTCTCCTTTCCCCTAATCGGCCGGCGGGTTGATGATCGCTGGCGTCAGTTCAATCTTGATTCCGCTCCACCAAGTTACCACCACCTTTAACTAAACTGCTGCCTCCGAGGGGGCATTCCATTCATTCTTTATTATTTGCATTGTTATGAGCCTGTCTGTCTGCCTGCCTGCCTGCCTGCCTGTCTTTTCCCTGTCTCTCTCTCCCCTCCATTCTTGCTATCTTTCCCCTCTCCATCCGTGTCCCACCTAGCTTGATCATGACGGTATGCAGCGACGAACACACCCGCTTCAGGCACTCCCCCTCACTCCCCCTCAAAACAGACACTTTACTGATTACTTGTCTCCTTACGGTAGGGTCGAGAATCCGATAAGGGGCATCGCTACATCTCTGCCCTGGAAAATGCGCGCTGCCAGGACAAATGGGATGAGGTTCCTGAATTGATCCGGAAGGTGACCAAGCATGCTCCGCAAAAGACATGTAATGCCAACTTGCCCTTCGCACCATGATTATCACTAGCCGGAAGATAAGTTGACGAGTATCACTCTCTCAGGTCTTCTGGAGGTTGCCAGCGCAGAATACCAAATCGCATCGCATATCCAGACAGAAGCATCAACTCCCCGATCGACCTCCACCTCTTCCAGCCTCCATGAATTAGTCCCGTCCCTGCTATCTACCGTCAATCGAGCAGAAGGACCTAAACAGGAGGTGTTTCAAGCACAAGTTTGCCTGGGTTGGGTACACTGGACACTGAATGAACCAAGCTTAGCAACATCTCGGTTTCCGGACAATTTCACTGAAACAATCCATGACCTCGAAAGTGCGGGGGAAGAGCTCTCCCCGTGGACGCAGGCCTGCCTTGTGAAAGCATGCTATCTGAAAGGTGAGTTCATTCACTGCGGATAGATTCAAATACTGTCGTGCAATGCGCTAATACATGCATAGCTGCCTCGCAACGCATGGTGTCGGACGCCGGTGATGCCCTAGAAACTCTCGAATCGGTCACACCATGGCTGAACAACCACCTGCAGGGTTCCACATTGAGCAATCCTCAATTTCTGTACTGGTCGGAGAAGCTATTGGCTGAAGGCGCCTCCATCACCGCGGAGGATGCTCTGCGCGACATTGTCGCTACCGATGCACAAACCGTGACGACCGCGCTGGGATTTCTCCGACTGTGGGCTTCTCATCCTAATAGCAAGCAAGCGACTGCTTCTCAGACAGTGCATACGAACAATTCTACTGAAGCAGTACTCCGGTCATCACTTTGGAAGTCGTATTACCAGCTCCTGACGGCGATCCTGCGACATGGAGTGCCATATAGCCCTTCCACCAACGGACCTGAACGCCCACAATTGGCTAGCGAAATCCGACGCGTAGAAGCTGTCTACGAGGCGAATCTTCTTCGTGAGACGAAGTTCCCTTCCGCCAATTCCAGCAACCCGCAGGTTGAAGAATGGGTTGAAGAAGTGATCTCCAACTGGCAGGTGCTTGGTGGGCCCGACTGGACGGATGAAGAGCTCGGGGAGGGAGGCCAAAATGCTGTCGGCAGAAACGTCCTCGATGTATGTTTTCACCATGGAACCAGGGGCGACAGGGCTACAAAGCAAACGAGCAAGCATGCTAACTCTGTCGTAACAGATCCTTTATCGTGCTGCGACCAAGACGTATCATTCGCACTTGATTCTTCGACGTCTATTTCATGTTCATTGTGCCTTGGGTGACTCTGTTCTTGCTATCAAAGCGCTTGACTCCTACATAGAAATTGTGACTAGTGCTAAAGAAAGGGCCGAGAAAGGGGCGGAGTCCGGAGAGCTGGAGAATGATGGTAACCTGCTTCGCACCATCGCGGAGGGTGTGATCATGCTGTGCTGCTTCGGCTCCGACAAAGAAGCCGAAAAAGCAAGAGACCTAACAAAGTTACTGAAGAAGTTTGTCGCAAAGCATGTCCAAGAAAACAAAGACCAGGAGAACGGTGCCATCGTTATCATGCAACAAACGAATTCAGCTAGCTCCCAGGTGGTTTCTCCGCTGGATCTTGCCGCAGCTTATAGAGGTATTGGCATAGGACTAGCCAACTGGGCTTACTGGACGCCCTTTACTGAGGACCGCGACGATATTCGCGCGGAGGCAATTGATTACCTTGACAAAAGTTTGGCACCGGAGCTTGAAGACGAATTCAATCGGTCCTCGCTTTACACTCTAGCTCTGTTGTTGGCCGAAGACAGGGACATCGATAGTGCTGTTGAGTATGTCCGGTCGGCCTTGACATCAGATCCACAGCCACGAGCCGGATCGGCTGACTTTACTCGCGAACGGGAACTTGTTCCCCTTTGGCATCTACTCGCTCTGCTTCTTAGTGCGAAGGAAGATTTTGACATTGCCGAGCGCTCCTGTGAAGCCGCTTTTGAGCAGTTCCCTGCTACAATTACCTCCTTGGCTCACAGCGACAGACGGCCACAGAAGAATAATCATAACTTCCAGGAGCAGGCAGTCACTGGGTTGACCCATGCTCTAATAGATCAATTGCGCGACAGGGAGAAGGAACGCATCATTGAGACTCGCATGACTCAGCTCGCGTTCGTTGAGCTCCTCGAGGGGCCCGAGAACGCTTTGAACCACAGCGAACAGCTTCTCAGCCTTTTTGCCACCTTATTCGGATCGTTGAGCCTTGAAACGGAGACAAAACCTAGTAATGCACCGGCTGACCATCTTGCACCACCTAAGAGCTCTTCTGGGACAGTGAAGAGTCTCCGGGGAAGTATCTTTGGACGGCACCGTGGACATCGTGCGAGAGGAGAAACTGCTCCTGAATTAAAAGCCGATGGCCATGCACCCCCTCACCTTGATCGCGGTGATGCGGCACCCGCCATACAAGTCACTAACGATGCTTCTGCCGCAAAGCAAGCCGTTGCAGGGTCTGGATCTCGGAAACTGCGATCTAGGAGCAATACCCTCCAGAAACCGGATGGCGTGCAAGACCAGGATCACATTCAAGTGATCGGCAGGAACGCAGCTCAGGCTGGTCCTGATGCCGCGCCCCAGCCGGCCTCTCCAGATATGGTTCGAATGGCAGTCACTGATACAGCTGCTCAACCGTCAACCGCCCGACAGCCGCTGGGGTCCATACCTCATAACATTAAGCACAATCAACAACCCCCTCCAATTGGACACCCCAATCAGCCGCCTGTACAAGACACTCGACTACCTCTATCCTATGCATTTGACTCACCCACCAGAGCTGTGACCAAGGTCCCACCAGTTCAATCCCAGAAGCACGCTCTCTCTATACTTGTCAACATCTGGCTACTTATTGCTGGACTCTATCGTCGCGCGTCATCGTTTGACGACGCACACGAAGCATGCGAAGAAGCATCCAAGCACATCACGCACTTCGAGAGCCTTGTGGCTTCTCAGGAATCATCCGCACGGGCGTTCCGTGAACGGGGATGGGGCTGTCCCAAGAGTTGCGAGGACCTCTGGGCCGACCTTTACGCGGAGCGGGGCCTTCTGTCAAACGCACAGGAGCGTCCACATGAAGCCATGGAACACTTTGAGAAGGCTCTTCGACACGAACTGAATCATCCGAAAGCCACGATCGGCCTATCCAACCTACTTCTCGACATCTTCGATCGAAAAATCCCTCTGGAGCCTCCAAGACCAGGCATTGAACTCGATCCCTCCATGTTTCCTCTGTCCGCCCCTCTCAGCGAGCCCAGAAAGCAATCAAACCATGCTGGGGCAACTCTTCCCACGGATGCAAAGGCAGGGTCCGCTGAGGCTGACAAGGAGGAAGAGCCTCAACTTCTCAACCGCATCGCAGCGCGGGAGCGAGCTTTTGGCCTGCTATCCGGGTTGACAAAATTAGGCAGCTCTTGGGACAACAGCGAAGCTTGGTATGCACTCTCTCGGGCATATGAAGCAGGGGGGCAGATTGAAAAACTGAAAGAGGTGCTCTGGTGGTGCATCGAATTAGAAGATCGCCGTCCCATTCGACACTGGTCCAGCGTCGGCTCTGGTATATATGTACTTTGAAAATGTGTATCTAGGTCTACGGCAGGCGCCAATTTTTCCTTTTCCTTTGCTGGTTCGCTTAATATGATACCTCGGTGATCTTGGTGTATAGACGAGAACAACTATATAGAGCTTGCAAGTGGAAGAGACATAGACTAACTGGGGAAACGGTTAATAGTTTTGAAGTGGAAAACAAGACATCTTTATGTACACATCAAGTCCAAGGCATGGAACAATAGAGCTAGGTGATCGGTAGATCTACCGGGGAGCCGCAACGGGGGTCCAAGCAGAGTACTTAGGGCGGGTACTGAAATCATCGGATTAGTACACCGGTTCATTCACGCAGATTACAGCCGGAGTTAACTCACGTCGAGTAGGTCTTGAAAGCAGCGCGGCTCAGGGTCAGGGTGGGTCTGTGTTCAGGCAGCTCCCAAGCGCGGACGCCAGTCTGCAGGGCCCTGTCTACTGTAGGGGGGACATCGACCATGTAGGAGATCCAAGCGTGCCTGAAATCGGAGTCAGAAATGAGGTCGCGCCGCTGCGGTCTCGAGTCGAGAAATGCCAGATACTCACCATCCGGGCTCGATCTGAGAGGGGTCGTATTCGTGCTCCTTGTAATCCACCCAGCGCGTGCGGACTAGACGACCGTCAACAAAAGCTTTTCGACAGGATCAGCTTCCGACTTCACTCACGAGGAAGCTCCTCCTCCATGTTCTCGTAGAACTTGTTTCCGTAACGATCAGTGCCAATCAAGGTACCGGCCTTGGTATCACCTGCAGGGGCCATTGCGTCAGACATTTATTTCTTGCGGCTGTATTCCTTCCTCAGCGCGGCTAACTTACCGATGTACTATTTTCGTCGG